CTTGGGGGGGGACAGGGGGGTGTGTGATTTGTCTCATCTTTGGGTTCATATTCATGGTTATCATCATCAAATCTGTTTCCAGCCCAGCCCACGGGTGTCCTTTTCCCTCCGCCCCTGTGCTGCGTGGGGGTCAGGGGGTAGAGCAACCGAGCAGCAGCCAGAGCTGATGGCAACAGCGGCCTGGCGATGTGTGTGTGTGGGGGCAGCCCGGGAAGGCCTCCAGCTGCTGCTGCCTTCTCCCCAGGGGAAGGCCTGGCCGTGACCCCCATCCTCTGTGGGAACTGCCGCAGCCTGAGCTCCCAGCACTCGTATTCCCTGTGCTGAGCACTGCGCCTTCTCCAGATAAATGTTGCGGGAGTTTTTTAAGCACAAATAATTAAGGAGCTGTTAGACTCCTCCTGTCCCAGGTAAATCTCTGTTTCCCTCAGATCAATCGAGTTGGACACGCTCGGAGATGTCACTTCTGGGCTTGCAGGACTGGATGGGACAGGCATATTTTTCTCATTTTTACAGGTATATTGTTTTTCCACAAGTAAGTGAGATTAAGTCCAGCAGTTGGGGTTGAGATGCACAACACAAGGATAGTGTTTTGTCTTTGCCTTGCTCTTGGTCACAGGGTTAACTAGTTTGGATACCAAGGGATTGGACTTTATCTTTGTCGAAGCAGTTGTTTTTGTAGCAGCAGTGGCAGCAGCATTGCCTGTGGGGGAGTGGCAGTGAGTGGAACAGCATCTTGCCCTACGCATCCACAATACATTATAAACATTCAGCAAAAACATCCCCACTGCAACAGTGCTATTCACGTCAAGAGCTGGGAGATTCAGCCTGAAAGAAAATGGAGAGGTAAAATTGAACCAGCTATTGGTATTACCAACATGGACTGTTCCATTCACGTTAGGAGTTGTACCACTAGAACCTGCAGTGTAACTGTACACATACAGTGCCCCCATAGAGAACAGTATCATCATCCCTAGGATCACCAGCCTTGTAATGATACGGTTAATGATGTCTACAGTTCTATCAATAAACCACAGAAGAATCACACACTAATGAATGATACAAGAAAATATATACAATTATATACAGATATATTCAGGTATGGGCAAAAGCCTCTCGCCTCCCCCACCCCAGCAACTCCCACAGCACTTCCCTGAACTGGGAAGAGTCCCGAGGAATCCTGGAGCTGCTGCTGGAACAGAGCAGAAGTTTATGGGGGTCACGAGAGATCAAGCCTGAGGATCGACGGTGATGGATGAACAGAGTCCTCCCTGGACGCCGGCCATGGACGGAAGAGAGGGAAGAAGAAGGAAGGAAGTTGTCTTCTGTGATCCCTGACCTTCCTCTGAGCTTACGTAGATATATGGAATGGAATATCTTTGGCCAATTTTGCTTTTTGTCTAACTCAGCCTCCTACGGGGGGGTCACAGATCTCCCTGTGGTGTCAGAGCCGGCAGAGTGAAGGTGTGACCTTGAAGCCTCAGTAGTTAGAAAAACATTCCAGTGTCTTACCAGCCTAGCAGAACACCCTGTTGCTAGTTAAAAGAAAGCTTGCTGAAGGAAAAAAAAAATCAGTAAAAAGAAAAATTGGCTTCATCCTGGCTCAAACCAGGACAGATAGCAATACCTAAGCTTTTTTTGCCTGCTTGCCAGTACTTCTCTGCAGCAGCCTGTCACAGTTGGCATGAATGCAGACCTCCCTTGAACCCTGATTCTTAGGGAACATTGACAAAATACCTTCAAAAGACATCAGGGGACCTAAAATGCTTAATGCTGCTGACGATCCTGAGCTTTTCAGAGACATCAGGACACAGGATGCAATTCCTTTTCCCTCACCCTCCTCAGGCAGTAAATTACTCATCACTTTCTTTGTGTTACCTCCTCCTCCCCTGCAATCCCTTCCTTTGCTCCAGATATCAGTACCTCCCCACTTTTTCCCCCCCAGATGGTCTAGCTGCTTATGTAATCTAATCGAATGTATAAGTCGTTTTGTGCTATTTTTCACTTTCAAGACTACTGTTGCTATTTCAGACCTGAAAAGGAGGGTTCTGCCCAAAAGCTTTTGTGTTGTTTTTCCTCTCAGCGACAGCTGGCCTGATGAAAGATAGCCCCTCTTTCTACAAACCACAGTGGAAAAAAAAGCAACTTTTAGCAGTGGATTGAGTGACAGGGGAATATTTGGCTCCTTCTCCATAGTGTAATATGCAGCTAAAAACATCCAGCCAGTAGGTGTGTTTCAATTTGGTTTTATTTTGAAGAGATTGTTCCAGAAAAATCAATATTTCTGTAGCAGTATTGAAACCGCTCACAAATTCAGCAGCTGCCTTCAGTTACTGATGTCAGGGTAGAAACCAGTTGTGCCACAACTGGTGAGCTAGATGAACCTTTAGATGACTTCTCCTGTAGGTCCATATTCAGAGTTGCAGCTGTGAAATGGGAGACAGTACTTAAAAATATCAGTTAAGTAGCTGAAGACTCCTGTGTGAACAGCAATTTGATGTGGAGTTAGGCTACATCAATATCACGTTTAAAAAGCTTTTAAAAAAACCTAGGTATGTTTACATGGTTTTGCATCCTTTTAACTTGAGCTTGAAGCTCAGATAACCCTGAATAAATCCCAGGACTGACTTGGTGATATTTTAATTGGTCCAGGCTTTGCAAGAAGCACTTTGCTGAGGTACCAATGCTGAGAATTTCCTGTGATGCCATATAAACACATAATTATATGTCATGTCCTGATATTTTGTGATGTACTAGATTTAAAAATGCATTCTCTATCTATCTATCTATCTATCTATCTATCTATCTATCTATCTATCTATCTATCTATCTACTTTCAGAAACCAGCATTGTTTGAAGAAAATCTCAGTGCTCCTCACCTGCTTTCTGTGCAGGCAGCCCCTTCCAGCACCTCTTGCCTCCAAGCCAGGGTTAATACTTTCAAAAGTGGCTGCTTAAAGAGGTGGTCCCTCCACAGCAGGGAGCATTTTAGATGACAACTGACAGTTGATAGTTTTTCTGATAGTTTTTCTTGACTGTTCACCTTATCTTTAGACACATGTAAGTCCCCATGGAAGACGTGGTTTTATATATGAGGCTTTTGATACCATTTGGGGAGGATTTTCTAGGCAGAGCCCCACCAGAAGTTTTTCTCAAGGACGACGCTTCTCAGCTAGTTGTGAATTACTGAAGTGTTAGTCACTTCCATCAAATATTTACATCTGGATCTGACTGTGCTCAACCAATTGTGTCTTGGATTAAAATGGCAGATAACAGCTGATACTTCACCGCTCTTTCTCTAAGTAAACAGCACGTTTTCAGCCCATCGTGGC